GGCTGCGAAACATGGTCCCTTACAAAACACCATAGAGAAAAACTGGGAAAGTGCCAGAGAGGTATGGAACGAAGCATGACAGGAACAAGAAGACAAGATAGAGTTAGCAATGTGCAATTAAGAGAAAAAACAAAACCAACTGATATCCTGGAAAAAATAGACCTCCAAAAATGGAGATGGACCGGCCATATGTTGAGATCTAGACAAGAAAAGTGGAGTCAAATTATAACGAACTGGTATCCAAGAGATGGCAAGAGGTGTCGAGGACGTCAACAAATGCGATGGGAAAATGAGCTGAAACTTACCGCCGCACCCAAATGGAGAAGAGTTGCTCAAGATAGAAAACAATGGAGACTACTGGAGGAGGCCTTTGCCAGAAGGCACACTGAGTTGAGAGACATCTTATAAACAAACAAACCAAAAGATCCAATCACAAAGATAAATCTCACCCAGTTTAAAGGGCTAATTATTATTATTATTATTATTATACAGGATTCACATGGACAAGGCTCACTTTTACATCTTTATGTCCCATCCTCAATTTGATTGTCTTGTCATTCTTGTTTTTGACTAGACGTAGACCGGATATATGGTGGCTTTAGTGATGGTTTTACATAAGCATCTTGTAAAAAAACGTAAGAGGCGTTAGATAAATCTTTGGACATAAAATATCGTCGTTTTGTATAGTATGATGTTGGTGTTGGTTTTAAATTAGCCATACCCCTCTTCAACTCTGATGCAAAATCTGAAACCTCTACTGTACTTGAATGTGTTGAATTAAATGAAAGTATAGCAGTTTTGTAACACGTAGTTTTAATTGAGAGCGTTCTAGCAGTTTTGTAACACGTAGTTTTAATTGAGAGCGTTCTATCAATTACCCGGAAACGGAATCACAGACTTACATAGATTATCTTAATGTATAAACTAGAGATATACTCATCACACCAATAGACTATAGAGTAGGGTTCAACTTTCTAATTTCAACACTCTCACCAAATTTGAACCCTCTAACTTAAATACATAGATATCATTAGAACATATATAACAATCTGAACTTAAAACACAATTAAGTCATCAAACTGACCAAAGCTTAATTTCTTAATACCAAGCTTACTCCTAAGATACTGAAACTTATCCCTAGGCAGAGCTTTAGTGAATATATCAGCATATTGTTCTTTAGTACAAACATAATTTAAATCTATATGTTTTTCATTATATTTTTCTTTAATAAAATTATATTTAACATCAATGTGCTTACAGCGTTTGTGATAGTCCATATTTTTAATTAAACAGATTGCACTTTGATTGTCCATATTTAAGCATATAGAATCTTGATTAAATTAACCAATATCTAATAACATTCTCTTTAACCACAAAGCTTCTTTTGTCGCAGAGCAAGCAGCCATAAATTCTGCCTCTGTGGTGGATAAAGCAACACTTTGCTGACGTTGTGTTGCCCATGTTATGGCGGCTCCATTTTTAATGAACACATACCCAGTTAATGATTTTCGGGTGGCACTATCTTTAGCAAAATCAGCATCACTATAAGCTTNGCTCATTTATTTTGCGTCGATCGGTCTGTCTCGCTCGCTCTGTTCCGTTCGTGTATTAAGCAACATTACACGACAAAGAAAGAAACATGTTGGGTGATAGTGTGATGTTTGTTTCCTTCGCGTAATGTGTGATGTTGCATTACATCGTAGAGTAATATTACCCGAGTAATATCACTCGCATTACTTACACATGTCTAATCTGAAACCTCTACTGTACTTGAATGAATTCTTCCAGGAGTCTGAGAGATTCTCCATAAACTAGCTTTGCTGAAGAAGTTTGGAGATCTTCATTAAGTGCCGCTCGTTATACCCAGCAACATCGATGGCAGATTAGCAAACCTTGTGCCTCCGTGGCACACATGAGCGCTGTTTTTAGTTGTCTTTTTTTTTTATTGCTTAGATGGTTGGACGAGCTCACAGCCCACCTGGTGTTAAGTGGTTACTGGAGCCCATAGACATCTACAACGTAAATGCGCCACCCACCTTGAGATATAAGTTGTAAGGTCTCAGTATAATTACTACGGCTGCCCCACCCTTCAAACCGAAACGCATTACTGCTTCACGGCAGAAATAGGCAGGGCGGTGGTACCTACCCGCGCGGACTCACAACAGGTCCTACCACCAGTAATTACGCAAATTATAATTTTGCGGGTTTCACTTTTATTACACGATGTTATTCCTTCACCGTCGAAGTCAATCGTGAACATTTGTCGAGTACGTATTTCATTAGAAAAATTGGTAACCGCCTGCGGGATTCGAACACCGGTGCATCGCTTCAACACGAATGCTCCGGACGTCTTATCTTTTAGGCCACGACGACTTCAAATGAAGTCTATGAAGTCTCCACGGTTCCGTTAGTACAGTAATAGCTCTTTAGAATAATGTATTTTCTTAAAACCGTGGTAGACTAGTCAACAAGTGCCATTTGGACCAACTTTTTTCAGCAGTCCGAAAATTATAAATGAGATGTCATTCGATTCGGAACGCCGTCTAGATGATTTTTGAAAAAAATTAATTTCCCAGAGGGATGAAAATACGGCCGAAAACGGGTACTCTGGCTTGGACAAGCCACGCCCACCTTAACAATAAAAAATTTTTAAACATACTAAATATGAAAATAAAAAATTGAAAAAATTCAGGCACTAACTGAATAAATGAATGAAATTATTACGCGATGTTATTCCTTCACCGTGGAAGTCAATCGTGAACATTTGTTGAGTACGTATTTCATTAAGTGTTGACCGAGACTACAAACTACTACACAACTACGTTGTGTTGGTCGAAGTGTTGACCGCGGTACCTCATCCGGGTGCTGACCTCGAAGGGAATCGAACGCTTGGACGAAGAGTGCAGGGAGTCGTTTAGTGGGTAGTGTCCTAGATTTGATCCTTGGTCCCGTGGTTAGGTTAATCGCGGACCACATACCTCGCGTGCCCCCTCGGCGCGGGGACCTCGTCCGTTTGAGAAAGCGGTGCAACACGAAAACCCTATTGTCTTGGCCGCCGGTAACTACATACCCGATCCTGCGGACCGAATAGTAAGCAGTCGACGTCGTCCGAAGCAGGTCATTTCGGATCCTCCCAATCCACTATCGGTGCTTTTAGGTACTACAACAAGTCACTTTTCTCCTCGAACCCGTCGCTTGGGACGAAGGGCTCTGCGAGTAAACTAACCCACAGACAAAGTTCACTGAGTTTCTCGTGGTCTTTTCAGTGGGTCGCGTTTCCGATTTGGAGGTAGCCTGTGACGCACTGCTTTTGCTAGGGCTAGTGTTAGCAACGTCCCTCAGGTCGGAGTTCCGTGAGCTCACCTACTCGCTCCGTTACGCTGGCATAACCGTCTAAGGTTATCTGCTTAGGTATGAAAAGAAAATCGTGAAAGTCATTCATATTATTCGTAAAAAAAAATAGTAAGTCATATTAAGTACGTGTTTCATAAGAAAAACTTAAACTAGTCAGCGGGATTTGAACACCGCAATTGTTGCATTGCTTGATACAAGTATACGGGCCGTCTTATCCTTTAGGCCACGACGACTATCAAATAACAATTGGTGTGAAATATTCGAAGGCAGCATAGAATGTGTAGCATAGAAACAATATTTCTTTGGAGTCTTTAATTGGAATATAGATGTTGATTTTATTATTCAACTAGCGACCCGCCCTCGCTTCGCTTCGGAAACATTAAAACACACATGAAACCAAAAAAATACAATATTTTTTTTTTTAAAAGTAGCCTATGTTCATCAGGGACAATGTCGGCTTCTAATGGAAAAAGAATTTTTCAAATCAGACCAGTAGTTTCGGAGCCTATTCGAAACAAACAAACAAACAAACAAATCTTTCCTCTTTATAATATTAGTATAGATAGTTGCGTTTTAGGGCGATACAACGATTAAAGCTGTTTTACATTTTTTCGGTACCATTTTCATAGTACTATTTGTCTTTAGCCTCAAGTCAGTTCAGTTTCTGCAATTATTTTTTCATCGGCCCAAAGTGTCTGTCCAGCGGGCATCCTTTTGAGGCCTGAGAAATGGAAAACTTAGGTGGGGGCTAGATCTGGAGAATTGGGTGGATGTAAAAGAAATTCGAAGCCCAATTTATGCTATTTGCCATAGTTTTTTGATGCATCATTGATTTGTGACACGGTGCATTGTCTTTATGAAACAGCACTTTCATCTTTTTCAAATGGGGTCGGTTTTCCACGATTTCGTCCTTCAGACGTCCTTCAAACTTTTCAACCCACCTATTAATTATAATCGTTTCTTATTCATCCAGTGTTTGTCTGTATGTATTTAGCGTAACGTCGTCGGTTGAAAAAAAATAATAAAAAACAATAACTGTCTTAAAGATTTATTTTGTAATAACTCAACCCCTTTAATGATTTAGTCACTATACCCCAAAAATTGACACCCACATTTACACAAAAAATATGACAAATGACTTCGTAGGCAATAATCGTCAATTCTTCTAAGATCTTCTGACAAAGCGAAAACTTCCACCAATAGATCAATCAAGAACATATGACAAGAGATGAGATGTTTGAAAAAAATAAAAGTTCACATATATACAATTAAAAGCATAATTTAATAATAAAACTAAGATTGAAATTTTTTAGCATACTATAATACCATAGATATAAAGTATTATATAAGTATTGTAACGCAGCGTTCCGTTTCGCGGGGCAACAGTAGCCAAAGGGATTGTGACTCAGGTCCGTGCCGCGACGGCCCACCCCGCGCTACCCGCGCCCGCGCATCTATTGCATCATTCGCACCCCCAATTAGTGCGCGCCAGACTTTGAAGCGGAATACACGCGTCCCCGGTCGATACCGGAACTGACAACCCGAGAGTCTCATGCCAGTCGGGCACCTAACATTAAAGTATTATACATACATTATAAAGTAGCATACAGCTTTGAAAGTTAAGAAATTGAACAAGAAGTAAAATTTTACTTTTCCTGCATTACTGAGTCAGACATGAAAGTATCCGCATTTAGAAGGTAAGTTTCACACAAATTCTTCTTATCGAATTGGTCTAAAATATCATCGTCCAGATATTTGTTGATGATGGTAGCGCAACGCATGTCCATGGTGGCATGCGGTAACGGCGCCAGCAAGTTGTATTCGGTGACCCCTCCCCGCGACAGCCGCTGCCATTCTGGCGGAGCGGAGCGCGCGGTGAGCGGAGAGCGCAGCAGCACCAGCCGGGAGCGCAGGGGCGCCGCCGGGCCGCCGTAGCGCCGCGCGTAGACGAGCCGCGCGCACGCCGCCTCGATCTGTGCGCGCGCGTACTGCGCCGAGTGGGACACGTGACCCAACAGCGTTCGCACTCCCGCATCCACTCGGTCAATCCACAGAGTACGTTTCGAAAATGCGTTCTCTACTTCCTTAAAGTGTTCACGGGCCATAATTTTAAGCATGTGCCTTGCCACAGCCTCTCGGAGCTTTTCTGTTTTAAATCTTTGCAATTGATATTCTATCTCATTCAACACATCATTTGGTGATCCTCCCAACAAAAACAATGTACCCGTCATACCTAAAAGTAAACAGCGGATTAATAAAATATAAGCTCATTAATGCCTAGTCAAGAATCAAACGTTCAAACATAAATTTACCGTGTTCTTCCAGAATAGCCGCGAGTTCTAACGCAACAAATATACCAGTTTCATATCCCAAAATGTAGAAATTATTTTTGATCGCCGATTTTCTTAGCAGAGACTGAAAAGTAGATTCAATTTAATTATTTTCATGAATATCCGACTATAGCATTGTGCGTAAAGAATATCTAATGCACGAAAATATAATTCAAATTATCAGCATGTAAATTGAACAAAATCTAATAGATGCCTTACATTGGCATATCGTCGTGCTGTTTGCTGTATGGTCTCGTCCAGCTTGTCCAGCCCGGGTTGCAGCACGAGCGCGGGCAGCTTGAGTCGCTCGCACAAAGCTCGGAACCGCCCGTGGTGTCCCTCCAGACCCGGGACGATACACAGCGATGTCACTCTCACGTCGAACTCATCATCACGCTGCAATTTTTATTAAACGTCACTAGCAATTTTTTACCTAAGCTATTTAAGTCATTTTGCTGAAGCTTACCATGGTCGCGCTACTGGTGAGTGTCGGCATGAACACCATTTCAGTTGTGGCTAGCAGTTCGTCTGGATCTACATATGAGTAGAACGCTTCCAACCCATTCTTAGTACTATAACCAGGCGCAACAATAGCGTCCTCTATCTCGTTAATTCTGTAAAATTAATAAAAATATAAAATTCGGTTTGGTCATAAAGTTTAATGCTTTGTTCGGTTGACATTAATTCGTTCTCTAATTGTTATTTCATCGATGACAAAACGTAAAAGCCAACTAACTGTTCAGCCACCCAGGCCCATTTTCAAAGCCAAGGTAAATTGTTCATTGTCTTTTTATGGAACTTAATTCAATAGCATGAAAACCTCAGACCGAAGTACCCCATGTTTGAACACTGAACCTCTTTAGGCTGACCTTAAATAGTAAAATAATTACTACACTTAATACTACACTTACTAATATTATTTAATATCAAACTAAAGCCCTTTTTACTAGTGATACGGCGTCGTGTATACACCCGTATTTTTCTGTCATGCTGCAGTTATGCGTTTCGATTTGAAGGGTGGGGCAATCGTTGTATTATAAAACTAAGACTTAAAATTAATGACCCAAGGTGGGGTTGGTGGCATTTACATTGTTGGTGTTTATGGGCTCCGGTAACCATTTAACACCAGGCGGTCCGTAAACTCGTCCTCTATCTAAGAAATAAAAAAGGCCGCAAAGTTTATTCGCGTAGTTAGTTGGTAGGGCACCTTGGAAGTCCGCATGCATAAGTAGCACCATTTTTAAGAGTGGGACAGTCGCTATTACATTTGAGACCTTAAATGTCCAGGACAGCGCCAATCACTTTGCCAACAGGCCATGTGCTTGTTCACCCAATGATGCACAATAAAATACGAAAAGATAGAACCTTCTTAAAGTAATCAAAGTCACCTTTGCAATGTTAGAGAAGACACATCACTGTCAATCAACGTGATGTTATGATAGTCCCGTAAATAGTTTGTTATATTTGGCATTCTCTCAGCTACGACACCCAGCTCGCGAAGAGTCGTTGTGTCTTTAGAATCCTCTGACATTTCTAAACCTGTTTGAAGAATCATAACTTTGTTGACAAATGAACGTCCTGAATGGCTACAACATTTCATAATCTTTTCGCAATTTAATATCGCTTTCTCACTACTCCGGGAAACAAAAACAGGCAATTTATGTACTATTAAATAGTCAATCTATCTCAAAAAAAAATATTCAATTTTTTTTAACAATTCTAAAAATAACAATAATATTTAGCAACAGTTTTTTAAAGTGATTCGCTTTCTTGTATTCTAAATTAGCTAAAATTTATATTATTGAATTAAAGTTGTTATTTTTTTTTTAATATCTATGTGAAATACGAGCAGGCGAGCCTTCTGAACGCCATTATGAACAGCAACACAAACGAAAAAGTTTGCTTACCGCGAGACAATACTAGTTTCTTCCGATTAATAGCATAATAATATACATATTTAATATTATTGTAAACAATCCCACTAACTAGAGCTTATAAAATCTGATCACAGAATTGTTTAGAATGATTCCACTCACCAGCGATACTGCATAGTTGTTGTACGAGCGGTTTTCGAGGAATAACATGCGGAGCTGCAATCACTACATATTCTCCGGAGCACAAGGCAGCCTCTACAGCTTCCACACACAGACGATTAATTTGGGAAGACGATATATCGCGGTCCTGCGAAAAAAATATGCCAACCGATGATGTCATAAGAAACTTGTTTTATTTCTTGTAAATAAACACTTTAGAGGCGTTCTAAGATTATCTCGCTTTCAACGCCGCATACCTTTCTCAAAGCACCGAGGTGAAGTATAGTAGCTGGGTATCCGTCATTATTTCTTGGCAAACATATTTCGGTTTTCAAATGATCATCAGTTATTACCATGAAGAACCTAAATAAATAAATATCTTGAAATAATTTCTTATTCGGACTTGTTGTTCAAGAGTACAGCGCAGTGTTGTTGGTTTAAGTCTAAATAACGTACTGCGCAATGTTGGAAAATTGAGACCAAAAATAGTAACTATAAAGTTGTTACATACTTTAAAATAAGCTGCTATTATGAAGTTTATTTTAAAGAAGGTCTGAGTTAAAGATTTGAATATAGCTGGAGCTGGAGGCTCCGATTTGTCGATTCCGCCTGTATTTTGGAAATTCATTAAATTCTTTGCAGCGTTGGGTCACAGAGAGCAGTTCTCATCTTTTAGGAGGTCGTCGCGGAAAAATATTGTGGAGCATGAAAGAAATGCGCCTGTGTTTTTCACCCCTTTCGAAACAAAGGGTTGTGACGACTCAAACGAGAACTTCGGTGTCGGCGCAGGTGTCGGTGCTTTTGACGAGGCGAACATGGCTAGACTTTGTAACTAGCCTAGAGCTTAGTGTATTTACGCTCTTCCTTGGATTACGTGATTCACTTTGACTGATACCAGGTAAATAATGCAAGTAGATTCCAAGATTCTGAATAATATAGGCAATTTATAAGAACACCGAGGTTCTTATAATCGGGTTCAGACCATAGGACTTTCGGCGCGCACTATGCGATAGCGTAGGTTTCGGCGAGTCGTTTGAAACATGTCTTGTCGGATCCTCACAATTCATTATCGGTGCGTTTAATCCTCTCAAGCACCGGTCTCCATCCTCATGGAACTCGTCGATTACAACGAAAAGTTCGACGAGCTAACTAACCCATAGACACAGCCCATTGAGTTTCTCGCCCGGGAGCTCACCGACCCGTCCGGTCGTAGCTGGAATAGCCCCTTGGGCTACAAGCGAATAGGGAGGGGGAAAAAATTGAACCGAAGTGCTTAGTCTTGGAGTGCTTAGTGGAGCTTAGTCGGTAGTCGGTTTTGCGGAGCGGGTCTTGCGTGGCTCACTTCGGGCGGCCCTTTCACGGTCCATTTACAAGGCGTAGTGAGTGTTCTAGGAGGAATTGGAAGAGGAGGAGGACCTCGGTCTTACGATTCTCCTTCTTATTCTCTAGAGGCGCCGGAGTCCGATATGGCAGGGTCTGTTACCCCCCTCGACCAGGTATTCATAAACGATCCCCCAGCGTTACAAAGAAAGGTGTCAGTATATTAGAGTTCTCATTCGTCAGTAATTTGTTTCCTGTTTGAAGTTGCACTTTTAATAGAAACAAGAAAAATAAGTGTTCAGCGTGTTCAAAAAAGAAATAAAATGTTAAAAACATATATGGTACGTAAAGATATAAAATATAGTAATTTGAGTACAGAAATCAGTAAATGCGAAACCTAATCTGTTTTACACCGACCTGAGTGACGGGAACAGTTCTTTTGATGCGAGTTCTAGGTTTTTAAGAATCTGTTTTTTTTCACACATTTGTAGTTCATCAATAATAATTCCATCAACCTTTCCTAAGCTAGCTGCGTTATTTAACACTGTAAGAATTTGGTCCATGTTATTAATATTTTCACAAGAGGTTTGTACTTGAACACCTTGACTTTTCCATAATCTGTGAAAACAATAAAAGCATGTCGTTAGAGTTCGATAACATAGAAAATTAATTGCATATTACAATAAATGGTTTATCTAACGATTGTTAAATTTCGTCGTTTCATAATCGATTTTCGTCATTAAATAACCGATTATATCGATATCAATAGTTATCGATTAGCCGAACTCTCGAAATATCACTTTACGCCTAGCTCTTACTATAGTGTTTTTGTTTTCGAATAAAGCAGATGAAATCACGGCCTACTTAGTATTGAATGGTAATGGAGGTCACGAAAATCAGAACATAAATTTCATTGCATACCTTGAAACGTGGGCTCCACGTTCCAATGGCTTGGCCTGATGACTATCTATCTTAGTGCGCTGGTATCATTCTCAAAGAAAACCTTGACATAACAATTATTGTAAAACTTACTGTATTTTACATGGAAGGTATCCTGGAAACGAATCATAATGTAGAAGCAAATTTCTTGCACCACGCTCTATCAACCTATCCGCCAATTGTATCCCAAACGTGCATTGTGTAGAAAATATCACATAACAAACATCTGGATTGCATTGTATTCTGAAAAATATTAAAAGCAATCATAGATATTAAAGAGATTGAAGATCACACAAATATACTTGGACAGTTGCGTTCTTTAAAACAACTGTCTTTAAATTAGTGTTTATGCACTTGTCAAGTAACGTTTGTGGAATTCAATTATACTACGGATTGCTGGGGGTGAGACATACTGCACTGTGTAAGTTTCCCTCCAATATCAAAGGGTCCTCCTCCCTCTATACTAAGCCGGCGATCGATAATCCGATACGGAGATACCTTAAGAGGCAGACCCACTGACCATTATCACAGACAGGTTCATTCGCGGATCTCGCACTTTGTGGTGGGATGCCTGTTGACACCAGTAACAGGAGTTTATTTTATTCGTTCAACTCCAGCATACCTTGCGATTGCCTTCTACCCAAAAATAGTATTGTATGGTGCTCGCCTACCGTATGTTGGTTCAGATGGTTAAATCCTCTGATTCAAGCTATCACTTCACCGCACTGCCAAACTAATAATCTAACAGTACAACTAACTGTAATTTAGGCACACCAACATTGATTCAAGAACTTAGTGAACTAATGTAAATCGATTATAATTCTAGTTTCAATAACGAAACATGAAAATTTACCTATGTTTGATCGACGGTTGGAATCCATCAATTCTCAGCAGCACTCGACCACGATGTTGTCTAGTTACAAGCAGCTGGAAGGCCCGGGATACCTCTTCGGCAGCATACGTCACTCGAGACAAAGGACGAACGTAACCCCTGGATATACCTTCGCTTAATGCTTTTTGCAAGATCTGGAACATGGACGTTAGTATACTATATTAATGTGAATGTTATTGTATTATTTAAACCAGTTCACTATATGTACTTACTTTGCTTATATTATAGATTGTAAGAATATCGACTCGACATAATTATTTCTTATGTACNGTTCCTTAACTTATGGGCAGCGGTCATAATCTTGTTAACATAATCTTCTATGTTCAGACAATTTTCAAGCGTGGTATTGATAAGATCTCTCAACAGACCCACTCGGCGTGTCAAACCCGTGTCATCGAAAGCTTTGGCTAAATTATTCCAAACTTCCTTGGCTGTTTTGGCTTCTTGTATATGTACATAATTGATTGGATGTACTAATAAGATAATTTTTGACTTAGCTTTTGTATCAAGTTTGGGATCAATTGTTTCATTGTCTTTCGCGGTGACACAACTCCATAATTCTTCGTGTTCGAGATATGTTTGCACTGCAAATCTCCACGTAGGATAGTTTTCCCTTCCAGTCAGCTTTTCAATCAGTGCCATCGTATTATTTGACGACATTTTTGCTGATTAAGAAAACACGTGCAGAGTTTTGAGGTTATACTGAACTAGTGTTTTGTACTGATATTTGAAATTTTACACTTTTCACTATTACTACTTTACTTTTAATAAAAATAGGTGGCCTGGGCCCATAACCTGTTGAATTAAATGAAAGTAAAGCAGTTTTATAACACGTAGTTCTAATTGAGAGCGTTCTAACAATTACCCGGAAACGGAATCACAGATATAACATAGACTANAGGTGGCCTGGGCCCATAACCTGTTGAATTAAATGAAAGTAAAGCAGTTTTATAACACGTAGTTCTAATTGAGAGCGTTCTAACAATTACCCGGAAACGGAATCACAGATATAACATAGACTATCTTAATGTATAAACTAGAGATATACTCATCACACCAATAGACTATAAAGTAGGGTTCAACTTTCTAATTTCAACACCGGTCAGTAACTAACGTCCTGTCTGTTTCTGCTCCGAAGCAGTAATGCGTTCCGATTTGAAAGGCTCTGAGCAGCCTTTCTACTATACAATTGACATCTAAGCTATTTGCTCTAGTAACCAGTTAAACAATGCCGTGAGATCCTTCACCAGGCTCTCCGATTAAAAAGAAATACAAAACGTTGACTTTTCGATCCTAGGACTCTGGAATTTATGAACTTATAAAACGAGATGCGTCTGTAAAAGACCCTTGTCCAATGTTCAAATGTATTTCACTAGATTTCGAACGTGAAGAAGTTTACAAGATTAATTTAGCACTCAATACATTACGCATTGCCTTACATTCCCGACTAAACAACTGATTGTAGTCGAAATAGAACCTTCGGAGAAGTTTAATTTTGTTGATAACAGAATTTTCTTGCCTACAAACCCGCAACCAAAAATGTTTTCATATGCAGAACAGCGGTCAAGACTATAACCCTTGATTTTCTGATTTTCTTTTATCTCAAAACCATATAACAATTACATAAATTACAGAATGCAGAAGATCCACTTTGTTAATATGTGTACATGGATTAAATGTAATCTGTCGACTTCACTCTTTGTTTAAGTACGAATTCATTTTATAATATTCATTCTGGAAAATAAATCTCAACTAAACTGTGCATTCTTTTGTTGCAGATAACTTTGATTTGTATATTGATGTACCATAACATAATGTATAATGTTACTCTAAACAAGAACAGACAGTTTAAATAAACCACTTTTATTGGTATCATACTATGGCTTGTACAATCAGAATTACGCGTGAGAATGCCCTAAACCAAATCTATAGGGCTAAACAATAGATACAAACCAATGTCCGGCGTAATAAATAAAAGCAATTGCTTGACTTCATTATGAGTGAATAAAGAATATAAAATAATGAAATGGACAGAGAATAGATACGAACTAAGACAACTTGGGAGGGAGAAAACAGACGGCGAAGAAGCACTAAGAAAAATTCAAATGATCATCGATCTATTGCTAAATGCTCATAATCGAAATGAGATTAACAATACACGTACCACAACCTACTAGTAATCAATTTACGAACTTGCAGTTATCGGAGGACGTGGAGATGTAACTACATTTTATCGGTAGGAACCTCTTTTATTCTAGATGATTTTCGTCTTGTCCAACAGCCAACTCAAAACACTATTTTCTTTATAGTTGAAATCGAATATCTTCTTCGCGCCTTAACTAGGCGTGGCTGAAGGCTGCCTGATACCGGAAATTTTGAAAATCTGGCCCAGGTCAGGAAAATAGACGATTTGGCCATTAAATAGTCACATCCTTGAAATCGGAAAATTTTAATAAGGTAACAATACAGTTTCAAATTCTTATTGTTAAGACGACTTTCTTAAAACTAAACTGCTTAAATATGAAATTTATCAATCTCAGGTATCTAGTGTACATTGGAAACCTGCCTCAATTGTTTCAACACCTGTTAAGGCGATGTTGACGCTTGCGAGATCTGCCGATCCGACCAAACTGCCGCCGGCGCAGTTCATCCAATAATTACCCGGTGTCACCATCATATGAAGTAAAATAATCAACTACCATCAACAAGATAATGTTTATTTAAAATAAACGATCATGAAAGTCGACGCATTTGACGTGCGACACAATTTAAGAATGTAACTATTGTACTTCGACGCATATTGTCTTGAAGAACAATTACGTTCTTTTCACATTTTTTCCAGACTACCATTACTACCTATTTCATATTTTTTTTAGTTTATTGAATATTCCAGAATAATTTGATTGATTGGCACATCAAATCACTGTAACTATAGGACGTTAATATTTACGCCCCGGGGTGTAAGTGGCTAAACTACCAACAATCTAGCCAAAGCCAACCTCACCTGCCCGCGGTGCACCCTGCCGACCAACGAACGAGGCTCTGGCAACCTTCCCCTCCCCCTTTCCCCTTTTCCTTCTGTTCTCTTTTATCCAAATTCAACTATTTCTTACACATTGTATTCTTGACGTCTCTAAAGTGACAGTATGCGCCGAATGATACTCAATAATATTGTCGTCTCAGCCACATCCTACATTGCTGCCACGTATAGTTGGTTACGATTAACAAAATGTACTAAGATCGTATCGTAGTCGTACTATCATCAAAACAATACAGTGCAAATGAGATTTTAGACGCGATCGAAACATGAAGCGACGTCCGGTGAGAAGAGTCATTTGCGCTAAGTACTGAATTAACTAAAGAATTCTGCGAACTAATGAAATTGTTAAGAATGTATACGATACACAGTTTATACTTTTGTTATGTTTTTCAATCTTTCCTTTCTTGTTTTCTCCCCTCGCCTTCTTCCTACCAGCTATCCCTGTCTCTACCAGCAGAGTCAAACTTGAAGTCCTACTCCTACCTAAACTTTTCAAAAACAAGGCAGCGATATGAGATTCGTCGCACATTTGTTTCTGAAAAAGCGAGGAGAACGGAACGTGTGTATTTACCACCTAAAACGCACTTGTTTAGATGTTACGAATGTAACTGGGAGAGTGAAGAACTCTGGTAATGTTATCTGGAATGTCACGAGTCTAAGCTATTGTTTGTCTGCGTAGACTGCGATTCACGTTTTAGATAACATTGATTGGCTTGTTTTGATCGACAACGGCGACACATCTCGTTTCCTGGTTGTTGTAGTTGTAAGGTGTTCTGTGAACGTGCTGTAAATTAGGTTTAAGAATAACCAAGTAACTGGACGTGCCGTAGTACGAACTCGTTTCGAAGATGTTATCACAATCATTCTAAACTTGTCCGCACGTCGTTGGTTTGTATCTCTAGAAGCCACTTTCGTCCTCGCGACGATTATTGTTATTATAAATTGTGATCGGTATACGTGCGTTCTTCTACTAAACACATATACCGATCATCCTATTTCGGCAATTTCAAAATTTGCTGATATGGCACACATAAAATGTATTTCTCTATAGCGTAATGCATCAAATGTAAGTAAAGCTTTTCCCCAGTTTGATGATTGATGCGATCAATCATTTTGCTCCGCGTGAGCTGCGCTAAATAAATAAATAAAAATTCAACTTGTTGTCTTTATTTAAAATACAATTTTTTTTAACCCGCCTTTTCGCTGGTTCGCTTTCACCTAAGGGGCTATTCTAGCTACGCCCGGATGAGTAGGTGAGCCCACGTGTTCAACCTGAGAGAATTTGATAACACCAGCCCTAGTAAGATCAGTGCTCCGCGGAATCTACCACCGGATCAGAATCATGACCCACTCAGGAGACCTGGTCAGGAACTCAGCGGGCTGTCTATGGGGCAATTACAACCTTTATGCAGTCGACAAGTTACGGCCAGCGATATCACAATAGGCGAATGAAAACTACATAAAATTACTATTATAAAATCTTTATTACAGCATAACAATCTGTATCACAGTTAATTGTTGTCCTTCGTATCGTTAAATTACAGAAAATAACCTATATTTCTTACAATATCAGTTTGATACCAAATAAAAAACTAACCTAAATTTGCGCTGGTTGCCGTATGGGTGGAAAATCTTGCATAGAACAGAACCTATTATGAACGACCCCTACTCCTCGATACGGGTGTTCGTGAATCAAGTCCGTCGAGGATGTCGAAGCAGTATTAGTAATACAATAAACTAAATTTTGCACAAAAACGGTGGGTCCTCATCATGCTAATCAAAGCAAACCCGAAATTCAAAGTTACTAATATACTAACAGGGTCTTAGGTCCCGATTAATGTGCATTTTTATCTAAAATTGGCATGTGTATAATAATTTTAGGAACACGTTTCCATTTAAACTTACCACCTTTATTCATGTACTATCATCGGCTCAAAAGCCGTGATACCACTAAAAACCATCGGTGATGAAAGAAATTACTCATCACTACACAATTAGTCGGAACAAGCCGACTTAAATGATACAAATTAAATTGGTCATGCCAATGACGAATTTTTTAATCACATCAGTTATAAATAGTTGCATAAAATTATAGAAATACCCATGTTAATCAATAAAATGCAATCAATGCATTGTTTACAATCACAAAGTTCTTTATTTTAAATTTACGTACATAAGTATAATCACAGAATTTTCTAGACTGTTTCTAGAAACATTAATATTCTTAAAATAAAAACACATAAATAGGTAACTTGCAACTTACGTAATCACCTATGTTAAAAATATATGATATGGATTATATTAAGACGCTATCTAATTACAATATGAAATGAGTTTTGCACATGCTTCTTATTCATGAAGGTATTTATTAATATAGAGGTTTATGCTCATACACCGAAATCGATTTAAAAGTTACTGACGCAAATATCTTTGGAGTACATAATAATATAATCTGGAAAAATGTGACAGTAGTTTTAAAAAAGGTTTTTTTAAGAAAGAGTTCATGAAACATTTAAATTCTATTCAGTTAATATTAGTTATTATTCATTTTTTTCACTTACAGTTAGTTACGCAATCTCCTCACATATACTACCTTTTCTTAATGAATTTCTTAATCATATCTCTACTATTACACACAGATAAACGAAAATAAAATAATAATTTGATGTTTGAAAATCTAAATTTCAGTTTAAATGTTTATTATAATAAAATTCAAATCATATAATAAAATATGGATCAAGTAGGTAAAAGAAGCACATACAGAAGACACAGAAGTCCCTCACTGTACCACGTGGCAATAGATATATGCAGACATAACCCGAGGTTTGACGTTAACCAGGCAGCCGGTCGTAAAACACATGTCAAATCCATATGCAACATCACAAAAGAGCATTCATCACTGATCCCACATAATGTAGGAAAAGGACAAGAAGATGACTACGTTTTGTTAAATTGTAATCAGACAGCACCTTAAAATAATTCGCTTAAAGTAATAAAAGCTTAAAATACACAGACTGGTTCAAAGTGTTGGCAGAAAAACATGGAAAGCTCACGCCTATCGGTGTTATGCGTCTTCCGGAGCCCATGGACACTATAATGTGAATATCTCCAGCCCCATCACTATACTATAATACATTTGAAATGATTGATGGTGATAGGATTTTTTTTACTCCAGATATAACCTCCGTCGAGTACTTAAGAGTACTTAACAGCGGCTTGACTCTGTCCCTAGCATTACTGAAGTCCATGGGCGACGGTAACCACTCCCCATCAGGTGGGCCTTATCTTCGTCTGCCTCTCCCGGACTTAAGGGGGCGCGTGATATATGTGGGATTCGTCGGTCGATGATGGTACGAGCCGAGCTGTAGACGCTAAAGACCAGCGTCAAAGATGGTAGATGCCCACACACTTAACGACAACCCTGTCCGGCCTCGCTCCCTCAGGTCCCCTCGTAATACCTTCATCGGGGGGAGGCCGCCGCCTGCAGGGGTCGGAGCCGGGCGATGGATGGTGATACCTACCCCATTCGACTGACAAAAAACTACTGGTGTTTTCTTAAATATATATAACCTACAAAATTAACAAATAATGCATCATCGAAAAAAATATAGCTTGAGAGCTATATTTTTATAACTATAAGAGGCGTTGTGTGATTATATAATACATAAAATATTTTTACGGATAAACCATATAAGCAAGTACAGAGTTTACTAAAATTCGTAATAATTATGTTGCCAGTCACTGAAGCTTAAATGTTCAGGACAAAACGCGATGACCGCGCTTATATACAGGGTGTATTGGAAACTTTCTCGAAAACATTTAGTCGAGCTGGTATTTCGTAAAGCGATTATACTTAAAGATCATTGATGAAATCATATTTAATTTTATAATATTTTACTAATGTTACAAACTCTGCACGCGATGCACTTAAGAATTAAAGATCAACAACAAAAATAAAGCGCAGTGCTTTTTTTCCTCATGTTACAGTTTGACAGAGCATAAACAACAATTATTTATGCTTAGCTCACTAACTGAATAGTGTTTTCCATCCAATTTGGCTTAGTGATTTATTAATTTCATTTCAAAACTTTCTCTTCACTTACACCTATAATATTATTTAGCTTATGTATAATAATTAATTATGTTAACTAGTAAATTGCTAAAAGTAATTGATCCAATACATTTCTGTGATTTCCAAAATATTAGATACTCATTATATATAATACATAGTTTGAAATTCGGTGCACTGAAAGTTACTTATAAATAAATCGATGAAATTTTAAATTATGAACAATCACTTCGTAGACTGCAATACGAGATTAATAATTAAATTCTAAATGCTCTTACAATACTTGCGATACTCTGAAATGTACCAGTGACGAACACGAATAATCCAAATAATATGATGATAGTGTCCTTTACGATAATGAAGACAGAAAGTCCTTCTTTCTTCTGAGAGGCCACGACCAACTCGACCAGCGGTGGGAACACGAGTGCCAGAGCTGTACTGCTTACAGCACCAACCAAGGAGATGAATAGGCCCAGTTCGGGTATGGATTCCGCCAGGATGACTGAAATACAAAAAACATAAAATATAAAAATAACTTTATATTGTGTTAAGGCTTTTCGCTATATTATATGAACAGGTCGTAGAATTTTCGCCCACAGATTAGGAAGAAACATAGCCTGATACTTTCGTATCGTTTTTTTTTTTTTTTTTTTTTTTTTCTTAGATGAGTGGACGAGCTCACAGCCCACCTGGTGTTAAGTGGTTACTGGAGCCCATAGACATCTACAACGTAAATGCGCCATTATTTCGTATTTTCGTGGCGTATTTACTAAGGTTTCGTCTATTATTTGAAAAAAATCCGAAGGATACTTTCACTGAGCTGATTCATTTAATTTATGTGTTTGGAATTGAATTAAGATCCACTTAAACTATTTTTAATACGCTTTTATTAGCTTCAGACGTATGTATGTTTGTAACGGAATCTTTGTACATGATTTTGACCCTCTAAAAAACATCGGATTAACTCGAAATTTTGTATACTTATTAAGGACCGATGACAATTCGATATAAAACAAAAATTGAAATAAATGAAATTCAACTAAAAAATTAAAAAAAAAAACAATCCTGTTTAACCAATCCTCAATATCCTGCCTTCTTGTTATTCTTCTGTTACCATAAGAATATTAACCACTGAGTATGGGAATGCAAATATGAAAGAGAACCTCAAATATCTTCTGGACCACCTACGTCGGCCCTTCAAGCACTACCTACTTTTATTGAAATTAGATACTCACAAGTCAAAAGCACCAATAGAGCCCTATAGCCCAACTCCTTGGCAATGAGACATTTTTCACCGCATCTCTTCTTCAGCGCCGGCCAGGTGATGCCCACGGGCACGTAGAACTGAAGCGGATACGTGAACAGAACAGCACAGCCTATCAAGACTTGCACTACGTTGCTCAAACTAAATGAACAATTTACCTTTTATTAAGTACATAAAAATCACATTGTTTGAGATTCCGTCATCTCGTTTTTACCATCGCACTACCCGCCACCGGAGTAGAGTTCATCCATACTACCTGGAGCCACTGCGTTCCACAGTGCGTTTCCTGATATCTTTTTGCCACGTACCATTCGGCTTTTGAATGAGCTCCCCCTCCACGGTGTTTCCTGAGCGCTATGACATGTCCTTCTTCAAACGAGGCTTGTGGAGAGTACTTAACGGTAGGCAGCGGCTTGGCTGCACCAGGCATTGCTAAAGTCCATTGGCGACGGTAACCATTCACCATCAGGTGGGTCGTACGCTCGTATGCATGCATTTTCGACCACGTATATCAAGATAAGCGCCGGCAAACACCAAACACCAAGTGTACTGAAAGCAACGGAGTGAACTAATTATCTTTTTTATTTTTATTATTGCTTAGATGGGTGGACGAGCTCACAGCCCACCTGGTGTTAAGTGGTGGCCCATAGACATCCACAACGTAAATGCGCCACCCACCTTGAGATATAGGTTCTAAGGTCTCAGTATAGTTACAACGGCTGCCCCACCCTTCAAAACCAAAACGCATAACTGCTTCACGGCAGAAATAGGCAGGGCGGTGGTACCCACCCGCGCGGACTCACAAGAGGTCCTACCACCAGTAAAAAGAAAGAATTTAACAGAGGAGTATAATAAACTAATATATAAACAAGTAAACATCCACATTAAAGGTTCCTAGTTAGTAAGAATTGATACTTTCGAAATCAAGATCAAGCACACCCAGACCCCCATGCCGCATTGAGGGGATGGGAAGAGATATGCACTGAGTTAAACGATTTTCACCTCGATGTTTCAACATAGTTTGGTCTGCGACGCGGCTCGGGCGCGAGTAGTTCAATCAAAGGTGAATTAATTGGATCAATCCCACGATACTTCGCTTGTCACAGCCAAAGCTGAAGCGAAAATCTATTTAACAAGATATAATTTAACTTAAATCTAATTAAAAAATTTATGTCCCTCACCACTAGACAGATGAGGTAATTAACACTTACAGTTCTTCAAACAAATCAATATTCTATTTACCCTTGTACAAGTCTAATTATTTACTAAACGAAAAGTGTTCAAATAAACATTTCAGTTGGCTTACACGTGACCGGGCTCCAAGTTCAAGGTAAGACTTCCCGCCACTCCTTCACCCCACTTCAGGTAACCAAGGAATCCAACGGTAATGAAGATGGAGCCCACTATGATCATTCCGATGTTGAGCACTCCGAACGGCTTTTGAAACTCTTCGGGATTCTTCATCTCGTTCTTCAAGGGGAGCACCTGTAAAGAAAAACACTGTCAACAGTCGCAAAAGAAATTTTAGTCACGTCATATTCTTTTTTTTCGAGAGCGCTGTAATCCGAACATAGCTTTGCTTAGGTATAAAGATCACTAAGTACTTTTAAACTTAAACGTAACATATTTTCCTAAACAGGCTGCCAAACGCGACTATAATCGCATTACCTCCTCACAGAACCGAATAAAATAACTAAAATATACAATTTCAACAAAATGACCGTCGCATGAGCGTAAAAACTACTTTGGACCGCATTCGCTAGCTTTTCACTATACTAATTACTAACCAAACCAATTCCTTCGAAAGCGTAGACAGCAGTTCCGAAGTACAAAGGCAGTTGTTGCCACGATGCTATGTAATTCCTCGTATGAACCGATGGTAAATCCAAGGTCGCCTGGTAAATAACGACGCTAACTCCGACTGCCATCATGATGTTTGCGATTGTAGAGAACGGAGTAAGGTACTTAAGGTTTCGCACCATGCAGGCCAGGAGGACAGGAATCACGACTATAATCATGTGAATAGACAGGTCGATGTGCACTTCATAATGGTCGCAGATCTGTGAAAAGAAACTTTGATGTAATTCAAGATTTATGTTTAATTATATGTACAATAAAATTGGTTTTAATGGAGTTACGATATGAGCTTTGATCCGTTGTGAATGAACAGATTGTCTGTTTGTTTTGCATTGAGTTATCTCTCTGTACATAACTAGATGCAAAGTCTTACCAGTTTAATATTGTTAGCGATGAATACAATATAAACGCAGCAGAATCCGAGCTGTGTGATACACAGGAAGAAGTTGACGACGATTTTCATGGTGGTGGCAAGGGGCCGGAGCCTGAGGGGACCTTTTGCGAACGCCAAGTACACCGTTTCGGCAAACCCTGGTGGCCGATCCTGTTTAGTCTGTCTGTGCATTTCTTCTGAACCATTTAACTAAAATTATTACAGTTTAAATTTATTTTATTATTTATTAAAAGCAATGTACAGAGTCTGTGAGTAGATAAAGATATTCTTAAGATTTAAACTAAGTTTAAATGAAGTAGCCTAGGATAGCTTTAACAACCACCGCAAACTTATGGTGCAACAATATAACTATTATTACCCGATCCTGTAGACCGAATGGTAAACAGTCGACGTCGCCTTAAACACGTCATTACGGATCCTCCCGATCCATTAACGGTGCTTTTAAGTACCACAAGCACCGGTCACCGTCCTCGTCGAACCCGTCGCTCGTGACGAAGGGCTCGACGAGCGAATTAGCCCACAGACACAGCCCACTGAGTTTCTCACCGGATCTTCTCAGTGGGTGCGTTTCTGATCTGGTGGTAGATTCTGCGAAGCACTGCTCTTACTAGGGCCAGTGTTAGCGACACTCCCGGCTAGAGCCCCGCGATCTCACCTACACGTCAAGGAGAAGCTGAAATAGCCTCAAGACTATCAGTATAGTTAGGGAAAAAAACATGGTTGATAACTGGTTGCAGGACCTCTTGTGAGTCCGCGCGAGTTGGTACCACCACTCTGCCTATTTCTGCCGTGAAGCAGTGATGCGTTTCGGTTTGAAAGGTGGGGCAGCCGTTTTAACTATACTGAGACCTTAGAACTTATATCTCAAGGTGGGTTGCGCATTTACGTCGTAGATGTCTATGGGCTCCAGTAACCACTTAACACCAGGTGGGCTGTGAGCCCGTCCACCCATCTCAGCAATAAAAAATAAAAATTACCAATAAATGTTGTGCGTGTACGCAGATGACTCCTAAAATAGCTGTCATTATAGGAGCGAATACAATGCCTCCGTTTTTGAAAGCGTCTCCCATCGCCAACAAACCACTACTAATGTTCCCTTTAAAGATGTGGAGTAGTGTGTCCCAATATCTGAAAATAATCAAACTAAATTTCACACAAGAATAAAATGCTAGTAAGAAAAACAGCCATTACTTAATGTGGGTCATCCGGACGTTTGTGATCCATTTATATCATCATCATCATCATCATCAGCCTTTATCTGCCCACTACTGGACATAGGCCTTCCCCAATGCCTTCCACAGAATGCGGTTCTCTGCCTTCCGCATCCAACGACTTCCCGCCGTGCGCACTAAGTCGTCGGTCTACCATCATAATTCTATTATTTCCATTCAATTTTGGAAACATTGGGCTTAACTTCTGCAATTTAACAGTTTAATCTTTTCCCCGGTGCCTTGTCTTTGGCTCGTTTCCCCTTCATCTGAACAAGAATGAGAAGCTTTTCCAGACTATGCCTTGGAGATCGCATGATATGTCCGAAAAAGGTAAATATTCGATCTTGGCAAATGGTGGACAGCCGCTTTGTGATGTGGGGGTCTTGGATAATCGATTCATTGGACCTCATAACCTACGGTATGCGTAGCTTTCTCCAGCATCACATCTCAGTATACTTATACATTTATACACCTAATAAATATATTAAAGTTCTTAATGCATCAAATAAAACCTTTCAACAAAGACCTCTTTGAGCCTAAATATCACTGCGAGATACAAAGGAGAAACCCCATTCTGGGCCTAAGCGTTACACGAATGGGATATGTACCAAAAAATTCGTCTATTTTGCTTGATTAATCTATTGAAATCTTAGCTTCATTGACAATGGCCAAGTGTAGAAAATAAGTTGAATTCTATTTTTTGTTTTAAGCAATCTTTGTAAACATCAGCAACACTTATTTCAATATACGTAACTAGCTCCACAAACGTGCGGATTAGAATTAGAGCATCCCTAAAATCGGATCGATTTAGTGGAAATCGAGTGTAAAAAATAATTAATACTCTTTTGTTTTAGGCTATATGAATGTTTTTATAGGTATTTTAATCAATGCAAATAGAATATGGCCATGGAATCGTAACACTACTTACAATGGCGGCAATTCAAAATATCTACAACTGACAACATTGAATATAGCATGAAAGGGTAGTTTTGCATTTTTATATTAATGTGATGCCATAGAAAAACACAAATGTATCAAATCGTGTTATGTTATCCTTAATGTTGCCAACTGAAGATATTTTGGATTGCCGCTATTTAGTTGTGCCATGATTCGCTGGCCAGACTATAAACTTAATCTCATTGAATAACGTAACGTAAAGCACCAAAATCTACTAACAAAATCATTAAAATAAATAAATAACTGTGCCATTTAGTTATGATACGAAATCATGTTTTTTTTTTTTTTTATTGCTTAGATGGATGAACGAGCTCACAGCCCACCTGATGTTAAGTGGTTACTGGAGCCCATAGACATCTACAATGTAAATGCGCCACCCACCTCGAGATATAAGTTCTAAGGTCTCACTATAGTTACAACGGCTACCCCACCCTTCTAACCGAAACGCATTACTGCTTCACGGCGGAAATAGGTGGGGTGGTGGTACCTACCCGTGCGGACTCCCAAGAGGTCCTACCACCAGTGATTACGCAAATTATAATTTTGCGGGTTTGGTTTTTATTACACGATGTATTCCTTCACCGTGGAAGTCAATCGTGAACATTTGTTGAGTACGTATTTCATTAGAAAAATTGGTACCCGCCAGCGAGATTCGAACACCGGTGCATCGCGTCATACGAATGCACCGGACGTCTTATCCTTTAGGCCACGACGACTTCAACTGTCGGCAACTGCGGCAATTCAAAATATTGTCAACTGGCAATCTTAAATATAACATGAAAAACCCGATTTGGTACTTTTGAGTTTTTCTATGGTGTATTTACAATAATAATTTTATTGGTGGTAGGATCTCTTGTGAGTCCGCGCCTCCCGCCCGCCTATTTCTGCCGTGAAGCAGTAATGCGTTTCGGCTTGAAGGGCGGAGCAGCCGTTGTAACTATATTGAGACCTTAGAACTTATATCTCAAGGTGGGTGGCGCATTTACGTCGTAGATGTCTATGGGCTCCAGTAACCATTTAACACCAGGTGGGCTGTGAACTCGCCCACCCATTTAAGAAATAAAAAAAGGCATGAAATAAAATAAAATGAAATGAGATAATATGGGAGCACGTAATAATTTATATTTTATATAAAAAGTTATCATATAAATATCGTTTTTCATATAAAAAAGTTTTCATTCAAATTACAATAAGACTGACCTAAAGGTCTTAGTTACCAGGTCATAAAATCCCTTTAAAAATTGTTTCGTGCGCAGCGCGTTTCGCATTACGTTGTTTTTAATTTTTGGCTTTCGTTCGTTTTCGTAAATAATCTTTCTCGCGATTTCTCGTAACAGGTTCCATTTTTATTTTCAAGAAACCAACAGGTTTCGTAAAAAATTACTCATCTTTAATAGGAAACAGCCTCAAAAATATCGTTTTTTATTAAAATATCTCTAACAATAAACATAACCTAAAATGTTGACATTGTCTGATTTTACCAATTTGGCCATTGCTGGGAGATCTGAAAATTGGGCTCATGAAACCTTCTTAGGTATTGTAATTTATGCCCAAATTCTAGCACTGTAACGCCAGGCCCAAGTTTGTATGGATTTCGGGTTTCTCCTTTCAATATCATTACAAGAAACGTCTTAAAACTTTGTTTTCTATTCCTCAAAGATAATTTATGTACATAGCACTTATTGTGTTCGTTTTACTTATATGATATTCAAATAATAATAATTCCACTTCAGCACTCAACCTGAACTTGGTTTTCTGATACAGATCCGTAGTCATCTTATACATGAGATGACAACATATCGCCGTAATGCTATGCTTTATTTACTTACGAAGTTGGATGCCTGACTTTGTGTCCGTCGCGTGTCTTTCCGTTCTCCATATCCAGCTGACCCTTGGTGTGAGGCAGGATCTGCTCCCGAGATTGAAACATTCCGTAAGGCTCTGTGACGGTGCTAAAAAAAACAATACATTAGAAACATAATCATTCGACAAAACAATCCGAATTGATGACATTTTATGGAATCTCCCTTAACTTTCTAACAAAAGCGAACATCATGGTCTATTCCGAACGTTTAATAACAGAATCGATTATCTTATCGAATACCTTTTTAATATTTTTAACGTGATTAACATGAATTAGCTTACGCACCTTAAAAACCACAAGATGTTATTATAACGATCGGTGCGTCTTATTAACATTTACTGGGGTTGGGTACATTTACTTTTTACAATAAAGTAGCACTAACATAACACAGTGTATGTTTTGATGTAACAAGTTTTTCTCTAATAAAACATCATTGATAACGTGCGATATTATGTATTAAGAAAGTTCAATGATCTTATAACTTCATTAAATCATTAGGTTCGATCGATCGAAACGAACGGGTTTATCTATAATCCTAACGATGCTCTTTTAGGTTTAGTTAAATAAAAAAAATAAAAATTAACACTAGCTTCGCTAATAAATCATGGGGGTATTATTTTTCCTACCTATTCTAATAACTTCGAGCAGGATTTACCACCGGGAACTTCTTCCCCCTCTCATTTCCGCAACTAGCGAGGGGCGCACCACACAGCGTACCACCACCTCACTAGACGGGGCCCTAACCTGATGAATATGCTAACACTAGCCCTAGCAAGAGAAATGCTTCGCAGAATCTACTACCGGATTAGAAACGCGACCCACTAAGAAAATCCGTCCAGAAACTCAGTGGATTGTGTGTCAGTGTCTGAGGGTTAATTTGCTTACTCAATCCTTCGAAAAGAATGGCAACTGGTTCTTGAGGTATATAAAAGCATCGATAGTGAATCGGGAGGATCTAAAATGAGGTTTTTTGGCCGACGGCGACTGTTTTCCGTTCTGTCTGCAGGATCACGTACGGTCAGGGGTAGCAACACGGTGCTGTTTTCTGTACGATCGTAGAAGTGGTAGGAGGAGCCGAGGATATGCAGAAGTGGCACAGAAAAATCCAGGAGAAACTTATTCGAAGAGGCCACGACGCTCAACGTTGAGGATTATCGACGCAAGGAAGAAGAGTAGTGGTAGGTGACGGTCCACTATATTTATTGATGAAGTCATCTCCAGGATATTTGCTCGGTGGTAACCGGTTAACACACGGGGGGCTTAAAGCCCACCATGCCCAAAAAACTGCGTGTTACTCTGCCTGTTCCGCAATCCAATCGTACCAGTACAAACAAATACTTTGACAACATTGTACTCAATCCTAATCTCGACTACTTTTTTGTTTGTAATAAATACTACCTAGTCAGATAGATTATGATCTTCGCTCAAAACACAAGTCACGATTATTTGAGACGTTTTCTTTTGAACACGTTTGAGCACCTCTTAATATAGTTTACTATTTTGCACCGTTTTGTTTGACAACTAAATTGTTGTGGAATCGTATTAGTTATTTGTAATATATGAAGAACCTGGACTGTGTTTTATTGTTCTTTATGGAACGTATATTTAATTTTAGAAGAGCTTATTGCGAACTTGGCGTTCCTGAAAGCGAAGAGGTCAAAACATAACTTCAATTACTTCATCTATTTAATTTGAAATCGTAGGATCTAATCTACGAAATTCATGTCTGCGGTGTCTGATCAGCTGCTGACTACATGACAAATTATTATATGGTCCTACCATTCGACCAATTCAGTCCAATATGATACTAGTATCGATATGATAATAGTCATTATGAATAAAAGTAGAAACCAACACAATACTTGTGAACTCTGCCCGTTTATAGCATTTAGCAAATCACAGTCATACCAATAAATGGTATTTTTAGACTTCATTTGAAATACGGTTCATTTGGAATAGGTCTTAGCGCTGAGAGTGAAACATTTAGACATGTTCTTAATTTAAAACCACTATTAGGCCCAGTCTTCGAAATACACTGCAGATGACTTGAGAATCTACAATTCAATTCATTCAGTTCATTAAACTCACGGCTACAATCATGACAATTATTTATTTTAGTCAATTTAAATTTCCTCCATTACATAAATGAGATTTCCGACTTCACAGTTTCTGATAAATGTTTGTCAATCTGTTGAGATCGATTTTTTAGCGTTGCGTAATTTTTGGGCGCAACAACTAGATTTATGTCAATGATTACGAATATTTCATAACAACAAAGATTAAAAGTAAATAATGTTTGCTCAGTGATGGAAATTCGACCATATTCAATCTAGATTTAGATTCGATTTCTCTTTGTTTACTATTCGACACTTAAAAAATTGACCGTTTCGATAAGGACTAGTAAAGAAAAGATAAAGAAAATAAGTCGACAAACAAAGGAGAAAATAGTTCTAAGCTGTTTTGTCTTTGCATTTATTTGTATATTTAGCGGTAGGCAATGATTTGGCGGGACCCCTGCTGTGATCGTTAGCTATGATGACCATTCATCATCAACTGAGACAAACAGGTAGAATAAGGAAATGTAAAAAATTATAGAAATAAAGAGTCCCAATAGCCCTACTCCCCCTCCCCTTCTTTTATTAGCCGTAGTTAGGAATACAAAGTATGAATGGAATGAATGAAAGTACGAGAGGAATAAATGCGAGAACTGGTATGATAAAGAGGCTCGGAATGAATGCGTGACCTACTTTTTAAGCCCCTTATGAGCAGGAGTATCAACTTAATTAAAATTAAAACAAAAAATGTAAATATGAATCTCTGGCTTTGTTGTTTGCTAGAGGTACGAAAAAAAAAACTAAGACAAGAAACTACCGTCTTACATATAAAGTGTCCATTCACAAACCACCGATCTCTTGAATAAAAAGTTTGCCTCGCTGGCACACAAGCGACCAAGTTCACAATAATAGGTATATGAATGAACAAGAAACTGCACTAAGTATATAAAAACCGCCAATCAAGATTCGCTAAGTTATTACATAAGGTACCTACATGTGCGATGATAAATTGAAGGCAATAGGGTGGTATGAAATAAAGTGTGAACAAGTTCAGTAGTATGCAAAATTAATTTTTAGTAGGTACACCAGAGCCGAGCTTTGCCATTCAATCATACCCGATCCTGTGAACCGAATGGTAAACAGTCGACGTCCCTAAGCACATCATTACGGATCCTCCCGAACCATTAACGACGCTCATAGGTACCACAAGCACCGGTCACCGTCCTCGTCGAACCCGTCGCTTGTGACGAAGGGCTCGACGAGTGAATTAACCCATAGACACAGCCTACTGAGTTTCTCGCCGAATCTTCTCAATAGGTCGCGTTTCCGAACCGGTGGTAGAAGCAGTGCTCTTGCTAGGGCCAGTGTTAGCAACACTCCCGGTTTGAGCCCCGTGAGCTCACCTACATGTCAAGGAGAAGCTGAAATAGCCTCTCAAGGCTATCAGCATAGGTAGGAAAACCAAAGATCATTCAAGCAAAACGCGCCTGTATTGTTGTAAGCGTCGGCGTGCGTCTTCAAATGATCACTGAATGGCATTGTTGGAGCCATCGACGAGTTTTAGACGTTAAATTTCGAAAGCTAAATTAAAATGATTACTACGAACTCCCAACATAATTTTGGGATTACTCAGAATAAACACGAACGATATCCGATTTATAAATAAGGTATGAGATTCGGATACGTTTTATGATTGGGACATTTACCTCCTTTGCAATACTGTTTTTGATATAACACAATAAAATTTTAACTAAGTAAGAGTAAGAGTGAGTATCTCAATTCTTTGCCGCCTGCATTAATGAACATTAATTATGAAATAGCTCAAATTAAATTTATACGAAAAAATTCGTCAGTTGAATCTAGCAAGGCAACCAGTGATGTAATATGTTACATACGCAGCATTGCATTATACATTATTGTAAATTTAAATTTGAACGCAACAACATATTTCGAATTGAACAGAGTATTTCAAAATGAAGGCCAACCTTTGGTAGCATTAAATACGGAAAACAATTTCTTATTTCCAATTTTTAGAATTGATTTCAAATAAAAATAGGATTTCTGGACGTGCAGTCTTTTATGTATTTACAAATTAAATACCTTCGCCGTGGTGCGTCTATGAAAAAAGCTCGGATAAGTTAATTAAAATGTGGAGTAAACTCATAAAGGGTTATAGACTCCCATTAGAAGTAGCGTATATTCTGTAAAAAAATTAAATAAAAGACAATTTTTTAATATGTGTAATACTGATATTTTAAAACATATTTAATCAACATCTGATTTCGATGAACCGTAACTAAAGCTTAAATTGAGACCTTGAACTCTAAAAGAAACCAAAACTCATTTAGCGACCAACTTTTTTAAAATCACATCATACAACACATATGTACATATATATCTGCGAGCCACTGACTGAATCAAATTCCATAGAAAAAATGTCGGGTGATATAGCGCTCCAGTTTTTGCTGTACCTAACTATGTTGACGAAGTCATGAACAACTTGAAAAAACTAAACAAAACTATTAACATTGCTGTCTTTCGTGCCTCCATATTACACCTTGCAATTGAATTTTGGAAACATACTATTCCGTTAAACCGCTAGTTAACATACAGTTACTCAAGTCAATTATACCATTAACTGTTATCAATTCGTATGACCTAGACCTAAGACGAGTAATGAGGGCACACTTCTTTTGAGATGTAAGATGTTAAGATACGTTTCGTGTTTATTAAAGTATTAGCTTTTCCTCAACTAAGCCACCTGAAGCCCGTAGCACCCCGTACCCCAGTGAAAATCGTGCAACTCACTTTTTTTATAAGCTATTGAATGTGCATAGTTATTCTTATCTTATTGTTCCAATCCAGCATAATTCTTTCTTTGCTGGAACTACATATTTTTCGTACAGTATATTTTGGTTGTAGACTTGTTTTAAAACTAAGTAAATATATTATCAACTTCGAGTCGGTTGTTTCACTTTAATTTTTTGCATCATAGTCATATCGTCAGCCGTGTTGATTTCAATTAAAGTTACTCAAGCGAGTTTGTATTTTTTTACTAAATGTGATTTGGATCCGAGTCAGATCGTTCAAGCAAAACGTGTTCGTATTGTTGTAAACGTCTACTTGCCCCCCTGAAATCATCAACTGACAGACGTCCGTTGCTGAACATAGACCTCTCCCGAGGTTCTCCATAACGACTGGCCCTGCGCTGCCCGCATTGAACATATCCTCGCGACCTTCAACAGGTCGACGGTCCACTTTATGGCTGGTCTACCCACGCTGCGTCTTCCAGTGCACGGTCACTGTTCAATAACTTTTTGCTCGGCGGCGGTCTTTGCTTCGAGCAATGCGCCCTGCCCAATTCGATCTCACAATCCTCCAGGCTATGTCAGTTATCGGTCTGGCCCTTTGTAATACAAGATACAATTTGCGTTAAAATGTCGTACCTATAGATAACGATGATGGTACGAACGCACTCCTACGCTGACAAATGAGCTCATAAATACAACTGACACATATACCATTAACAATATTAATGTTCCTCTAACACTGTGCTATCTGATCAACCGCAAACTCTCCATCTTCTCTGTACATAACTATCAGAACTGACTAACACCGTGTGTTAAGATTTAAATTCGATTTACTATTTCTTAGTTAAACGCATACATAACATGAACCGGTTTTTTTAATTATGAAAACCATCATAACTCGTACATTAATTTATAAATTAATAATGAAGAATTCGCGTGTTGATGTGCGTGTCAGTTTCTATTACAACAATATTATTATTATTTTGCAATGCTAAAAACATTGTGGACGACCCCGTTTGAGACCCTTTCAAGTTTAAAATCGGTTCACCAATATCTTACTCACAATTCAATTTAATATAACGTTATCACATGGTCGGACAGACTAAAGATTTCTCATAATCATGAGTAATCAAAATTAAACAGTATAAAACACACCACTTTCATGTTCAAATTCATGCAACACTAAAAACACTTTCAAAATAGCTTCGTGAATGGTCTGAAGAACTTGTTGATCTGCCGTTGCGTTTTGTAAGGATGTGACAAATATCCAGAAAGTAATGATCCGACTCCAGACACTGCTCCGTTGAATGGTCCGACTGGTTGAACGAAGGGCTGGTGGAAACCTGGCGCGTAGCCCTGATAACCTTGATATCCCTCGTGACCGTGATGACCATGATGTCCGTGATGCCCATGATGACCATGATGGCCCTGATTTCCATAGCCCGGAGCTCCTCCTCCACATCCGAAAATATAATTCATCACCGGAGCGTACACGTAAGTGTTTCCGAAAGACCTTCCATAGCCTCCGCAAGGGCCCATATTTTGGTGCTTTTTCCTGTGTAATTTTCTTCCGAGATCTTCGTTGTCGTCATCGTTCAGGTCTCTGCTGTCCTCACCTGACGCCAAAAGGTAAAAGAATTGGCATAACAACAGGATCATTGTTGTCTTCTGAAATTTTCATTACGATCGTGTAAGTACAAAATAATCGATTACAAAAAATCATGCTAACCAAACTTTAACTAACTAACGAACCAATTTTAAATTACAATAAAACAAACCGTATTAAAGTAAGACGACCGGTGTTGGACATAACATTACAGACCACAACGCCTCCTCACAGCTGGAGGTCTGCATACGAGATTTATTGTCAAACAATATCAAATTAATTAAAATAATTCGCCTTAGCAAATTATGTACTTACCATCTTTTTTTCTTTTGGGCCCCCGAGCCAACTGTCGAGTTAAATGGTTAAACGTCGAATGATCTACGCCCTATTCGGTGGGATCCGATGTTGAAAAGTGAAAGTATGTTACTGAATCGCGAACAACAATAACTATAACGCAACTTCTTACGAATAAGTATGGTAATTCTAGCCGATCGGGGGACGTATTCGGTAATCCGGTTGTGGGCCACGGGGGCCATGACACTACAGGCGATAATTTACACCGTACTATAATATTTTGTATTATCCAGCTAGTTTTTACGCTGGGGGAACAGCCGTTACATATAATTACATTAAATACAATTTATACTTCACGGCAAGCGGTGTTCCCGCTGTTATGTCAAAAAGCGCATGTAATTATGTTCCCTTTTTTTAATCAGATGTTCAACGATGTCCAGTGCTGCATGTTGTAAAGATGTACGAAGGCAATATCATGTTGTGCTTTGGAAAATACAACAATCATAGCAACTTAATCTTTCAAAAAGATCACAAAGCGTCCGTTTGATTTCATCGATTTATTTATCAGCCCACAGATATCCACCGCTGGACTGCCTCCCCCAAGCCTAGCCACAACGACCGGTCCTGCGCTGCCGACGTCCAGCGGATTCCCGCAACCTTCAACAGGTTGTCGGTTCACATTGTGGGAGGCCTACCCACGCTACGTCTTCCAGTACGTGGTCGCCGCTCGAGATTTCTCGGCCTCAGCAACAATCTGTTTACGCGCAACGTGTCCTCTGCCCACAGCTACGTCAACCTCGCAATTCTTTAGACTATGTCTGTCACCATGGTTTGCCTACGGATATCCTCGAAACTCCGAGCATATGCCTCTCCATTGGTCTTCGGATGACCTTGAGTCTTCTATAAGGCCCATTATGAGCGATCAAATCTCAGTGCCATATCCCATCAATAACCACACACATTGGTCAAAGACTGTCGTCTTGAAATACTAGTATTTGTGATGAGAACATTCTAGATAGCTTTCCGAACTCTCGCCATCCGTATTATTTCAAGATTAAAAAAAAAGTTGTACTTCTTAAAATTCATTAAGTAACAGTCTTCTTTAAAACCGCGTAACGCAACATCTTAATCAATCAGTACCGAAAACAAACAACATCTCGTTTTATCACAAGGAAGTTTAGCAATCCGTATCAATTTACATAATGCAAATAAGCATCCTTAAATATACGTCACGCTATATACTCGTAAAAGCAGCGTCATTCACAAAATTCATGAAATAATAGTTCCGATGGGGATTAATGATTCACAAATTCTTAGCTGTGAACAATAAATAACATGTATAACATATATTCATGATTCGTGCGATGTTCTCATGTTCGTTAGCGATGCTGGCCAGAGTGTGAAGAATCATTGTAGTACATATCAACTGAATTTATAGCATTATGTGCCATCAAAACACAGCTTACAAATTTATCTGAATGTGTATATTTAGTTTTTCTTTACTAGATAAATATGCAGCTTTCGGTTGTGGAATTTTACAGTCATGTAAATTATCGTTATCTTAGTGGAACCAGCGTTATTATTATATAATTACTTTGAGCAGGCTATGTTGTATGTCGGAGCATGAAGTAAAGTATTTATTTGTTCTGGTCGGATAAAAAGCATAACAAGAATCGTAAATCTATAACTGGTGCCATTCACGGGCTCTGGAGAGCCACACAAAGATGACGTCTAGTCTGTCACTTCACGTGAATTTTGACATTTCGCCGGCCGAATAACAAGTATCAGGATTACAACACAAGCTATCGTGGCCGATAGGATGGTGCTCCCGATGTACTCGCATCGACCGGCGTGATTATGCCAGTGTTCAAATTGCCTAGGCAGCTATTTTTCTACGTACCAGCTCAATACGTGTTCTCGAATGACCTCCGTAATAGAAGAATAATATCCAAGACAGACGACAAAGAAGGAATTATTGGTAGGGTAGGCATTCGGCTCCTCAGCGCAGAAGACGGGGTGGACGGGGCTGTCGAGTAGCGGGTGCGGGGGCGCCCGGCACTCGACACTTGGTCCGGTGGTGAAACGGCGCGAAGTGGCTGGTCCTGTGCGGCGCTCACGGTGCGTCTCCCGAGACGACGTCCTTCGGGATTTTCCCGGGGATGAGATCCCGTCTTATGATCAGGACGGGTACCGCCGAAGGCGGGACTATCGGCGCGCACTGCGGTATCGTAAGTTTCGTGTAGTCGTTGTGGTGGAGCTCGATGAGGTTTATTCAGTAGTCGGTTCTGCGGAGCAAGTGCCTCGCGCGCCTTTTTCAAGGCGTAGTCTCCTGTGAGAAATTGAGGGAGATGGAGGAGATTCTCTTCTCCTCTATTCCTCCCAGGAGGCGCCGGAGTCCGCGACATAACCCGGCCCGTTACCCTCCTCGACCGGGTATCCGTAAATGAATTCCAAGCATGGAATGGTCTAACCAACCAGCCTAGTTCTGCTGCAAAACAGTCGTGCGTTCTAGTTTAAAGAGTAGTACAGCTGTTATACAATAAAATTTGCAACAACAAACCATTGAGGCATCGACCTTATGTCTAACATTCAGGTAGGTAGCCTTCACGTTGTTATATCTATGAATTCCGATAACCACTTAACACCAGGTGTCCCGTGAGCACGTTCTCCCATCTAGTACAATATAAAGTCGCCCTACCACTTGTTGGTACACAGAGCGCCTTATCTTTTACACCAAGGTCACTGACATTACAGTATACAAGTTTACTTTATGCATATCACCAATAGCGACCCGCCCTCGCTTCGCTTCGGAAACATTAAAACACATATGAAACCAAAAAAAAAAATAAAAAAAAAATTAAAAAAAGTAGCCTATGTTCATCAGGGACAATGTCGGCTTCTAATGGAAAAAAAATTTTCAAATCGGTCCAGTAGTTTCGGAGCCTATTCGAAACAAACAAACAAACAAATCTTTCCTCTTTATAATATTAGTATAGATGTAGATAATTCACTGTTAATGATGTTGCTATTAGTGAGTCACGTGCACCTACAGCCGACACTGTTCATCTAGGGTCAGTGATATAAAAAAAAAATAAAAAAAAATGTAGCAATACTCCTGGAAAATCCGTTTCGTATAACGAATTGACGATTGCACAACTCGTAAAATGTGTGTTATATAACCTTCAGTACTGTCACTATTTGTACATTACCAACTGCGACTGTACGAAGCACGTAAATATTATCACTGTCTATTAATCGTAAGGCTCGGAGTTGTTTATTATTTAAGCTGCCTTGTCAATAGGATTATGATGGCTTTTTGGCGGAGAGGAAAATGCCGTTCGAAATAATTTTTATATTTTTCTTTTTGTGTAATACAGACTGTTGTGCTAATTATCCAGCAGGTTTTATGTGATCAAATAACACCTTATATTTGTATTTACTAATGCTTCTTAGAAAGAGTATATACGTAATAGTAATGAGAGGAAAACTAACAAAAGGAATGTGAGGCGGTAAGCCATTCTGTCATTTAAAAACGACGATCTCAAGAGAGCAAAAAACCTCATGACTAAGGTACTAATGTATTCAATGCCCAATGAAAAATAAAGGAATTCAAATCAAACCGAACAACTTATTTAGTACATTTTCATCTACTCCTTCTTCCTCCTTTCCTCAATATCAAATAAGGTATAAGAATTTTTTTAGCTTCTTATGGAAAGATACATCTTATGTTTTCAATATCGTGTGCGTCCGATAAACACACACGACGTACCACCACAAATCGGTTACTTTACCCGTTACATTTATTAATTATTTTAGAACAACCTTTCTTTTAGAGCTAGATCAAGGATAACATTAGTTACGCTGGCGGCTACTGCAAACTGATCGTGATTATAATAGCATCTGTGGTTTTTTTAATAAATACAGAAATCCTAAATTTTCAATATCATAAAAGCGTTGCAAAACACATTGAATAATAATCGGCACATGATAAAAAAACTAAAGTCATTCATATTCTATTTCAAAAATTGAATTCGCAAAGCAAATTAGAAATTTTCAAGTCATTGCACTTGCTCGACTATTACTGCATCTTTTTTTTCATTTTATCGCACGTTCAAATAAAACTTCACAGTACATAATAAAAAAAGTTACAAAATTAAGAAAGAGAAATAAATATGTACATACAGACAAAAAAAAACTTCAGAGGTGTCAAGGGACACCCGGATGGAACGAAGTTCCTTTCGATTAATTAGTGAAGGAATTGTAATTTTTTTTTTTAAGTTATAATAATAAATTACGGCATTATGAAGAAGAAAAAAACAATACTATGAACTAAATTACTATTGTTGAAACGCTATCTCGAGAAACTGTACTCATTACGCGGACCAATCGGATACGAGCAATGTCACGCGATAAGCGCCTACACGTTGATTGGTCAGAATGACGGATCTAAAAAGTGTCGTGACAACTTTTCGTAAGAATTTTTTCCGTCTAGCCCCCTTTCACAACGCGCGATAAGGAACTTCGTTCCAATAATACAGTTTATGTAAATGAAATATATTTCTTTACAAAGCAATACAATATTTAAATTTGTTTTTGAAATTATTATTCTGTGCAAATAAAGGAAAATAATTAATTATTTGGAAATACAGGTTTTACAATATATCAATGAAATGGGAGATTAAAATGCAAATGAAAACTTGATCTTCGACCTCTGCCTGCTTCAACTGTTCGCATCAATAAATACAAATACAAAATGTCTATCTACCTAATTTTTAATTTCCTAAAACACTCATTAATATTCAATCCTGCTACTGTTTTATATCCTGTACTTTTAATCGAAAGGAATCTTTGCTAAGTAGTTGATTTTATAAGTGCAGTATGTACGATAAGACACTAAGCTTTCGTTTTTTTATTATTATCTTTTTTTTATTATATTTATTTACCTTCCATTTTGACTGAGGCTGACAGCGCTGCCGCTGATGTGGCTAATGGCGATCTTTTCTTTGACAGTCATTTCTGAAAAAAAAAAAACGGGTTGTGTTTTATTAAAGGACATATTTTCATGTTGACCAGTAAATTTATAATTTTAGATTGGAATAACGTTTTTTTTTTTGGCAGGAGCAAATCGCCGGACTTCCGCCCTCCACTGGGGATGGCGGGCGGGGCATGTCGTAGTCAAACTGATTAAAACCTCCTGTCACTCAAAAACCCACGTCCGAACCTCGCATGAGACAGAACTCATGAAAAGGCAAAGGGGGAAAGTGAAGTGCTTATAACTATATACACCCAGAATTAGGTAAATAATATAAACTTTATTTACAAAATTAATCTGTCACACTGATCACAGGCGGACACAAATTAGATACGACTGTCGTTTTTAGTTTTACTTCCTGTGCTGTTTACCCAGCACGTGGATCATAAATACAACAATGAAATAGAATGAGACCATTGTGTTTCATTCATATAATTGTGATGTTTAATGCAATTGTGATGCATATTACTGCTTTGCACCGGGCCGGCACAGAATCTGGGCCCTCACAAGGTCGGCGACGCTTCAGCAATCATACTGAGGTCACTTACGGATAAATAAATTACAAAATAAATAAAACCGTAAAACTACGACATTTATACCGCAGGTATCACGTATGAGAATTGCTTTTCCTTTAGTGAGGACTCTATAAAAATTACATCGAAAAATCTTATAACTTTTTTTGCATGGTTGAATGGACGAACTCACAGCCCACCAGGTGTTAAGTGGTTGCTGGGGCCCACAGACATCTACAACGTAAATGCCGTCACCCACCTTGAGATATAAGTTCTAAGGTCTCAGTATAGTTACAACGGTTGCCGCACCCTTCAAACCGAAACGCATTACTGCTTCACGGCAGAAATAATAATAAACTATATTTTGCGGGTTTGATTTTTACTACACGATGTTATTCCTTCACCGTGGAAGTCAATCGTGAACATTTGTTAAGTTCGTATTTCATTAGAAAAATTGGTACTTGTCAGCGGGATCGCAACACCATTGCATCGCTCGATACGAATGCACCGGACGTCTTATCCTTTAGGCCACGACGACTTTTAAATGGGTGCGTGTGTGGAAACACCCAAACTGGTAGGCCGATATTGAAAATAATTGAGAATAAAATTTGGAAATAGTTCACACACTGAGAAAGAATAAAGGCAAACTTTCATCTTCGCAACATTGCTCACGCGGCATAACGTGTTGTCAGAAGAGGCAGCTGCGAGCGAAAATCTAGTTTATAATAAACAAAAAGTCTACAAATGTCAATAAAATCTGTATTTCTGTTGGAAAATATCGTATCTGATGATATTTAAAGACTCGTCTCCGTTTACTCATACATTCATTTTGACTGCCTCGTCAGTCTAATGATTCGTGACCTTGGACACTGTACTGGGTGATTCTAGTCGGGTTTCTGCATTAATTTGTCAAAGATATTTAGTATTCATGGTATCCAGAGGTGGGTTCGCCTATGGAGCTGGGTGCGGGCGCAGCGCAGTTAGGGGACGTCGACCTCGGCACTCTTAATCAATCTGTTAAATTTGTACCTATTACATTTTGACCGCGCGCTGACTAGAGGGCGCTAGATGGGCTAAGATACGCCTTTGTTATTATTAATTCTATCAAGGAGCTCTTTCCTGGTTTTTTTTTCACTCACAGATATACTGACCTCGACAAGGACTCAGACTACTTAATTAGCCCCTCTATCAAGGAGGCATTCCAAGTATTTAAGCAGAGTCTGGCCTAGTGAGCGTCAGCCAACTGAGTTTCTCGCCGGATCTTCTCAGTGGGTCGCGTTTCCGATCCGATGGTAGAATCTGCGAAGCACTACTCTTGCTAGAGCCAGTGTTAGTAACACTCCTAGCTTAAGCCCCTTGAGCTCACCTACACATCAAGGAAAAACTGAAATAGCCTCTCAAGGCTATCAGCATACCCACAAGACATAGACACAACGCACTGAATTTCTCGCCGGATCTTCTCAGGGGCTCGCAATTCCGATCCGTTGGTAGATTCTGCGAAGCACTGCTCTTGTTAAGGCTAGTGTTAGAAATTCTCTCCGGCTGAGTCCCTTGAGTTCGCCTACCAAACTGGTGAGCCTGAAATAGCTCCTCAGGGCTATCAGTGATGAGATAGGAAAAAGAAATAGCTTTACTGAGTGGCAAAACACCTGACATTAGCTCTTAACTGATAACAGTCCAAAATTTTAGACGTAACTAAAACTAACTTTACAGCTTTAATCACGAGTTAGCTTATTGACGTACACGTGAATCTGAGCCGCCGTCCGTGACCACGATCATTTCAAAGTATTCGAAACGTCGAAAATAATTTAATGACAACAAAAAACGTGAAATTACCTTTAAAATCATTTTAGTTATGTAGACAGTTAATCCCGTTCAAAGGCAACCACGGGTACATATGTTACATACCTACATATTTTCGGATCCTCCTGATCCACTAACGGTGTTTTTAGGTACCTCAAGCACCGGTCATCGTTCACGTCGAACCCGTCGCTTGCGACGAAGGGCTCCACGAGTAAATTAACCCACAGACACAACCTACTGAGTTTCTCGCCGGATCTTCTCAGTGGGTCGCGTTTCCGATCCGGTAGTAGATTCTGCGAAGCACGGCTCTTGCTAGGGTTCGTGTTAGCAACGTCATCAGGTTTGAGCCCCGTGAGCTCACTTAGTAACTAGGCGAATCTAGAATAACCCCTCGACGTTACTAGAATAGGTAGGATAAAAAAAAACCTACATATACTCGATAAATTAAAAAAAAACCTTCCAAGTGATTGGTTAGTGCCTTTCAAAACAAGTTATTTGGCATTGCCGAATCATCTCTTCGATATCATTGGCTGAACACAGTTCCAACTCAACCCATTATTCATCTTAAAGTAAAAAAAGTAACGAGAAATCCGATTTTTCTTAGCCATTAACGAATGTACATGTAGCACTATAAAACGTATATCCATTAGTCTGCTTCAAATCTACAGTGGTTTTCACGGATGTTCCGTTATAACTACTGAACCATGCATCCGATTGACTTGAAACTTTGTATCCATGTAGAAAATACATGTACTTAATGGATAGGCTAGTATCTATATGAGTGTTAGACTCCCTACACCAGTTACGGGGGCCTTAATGATGAGAATCTTTGTGGGGGTGAGAAATGATAATGTCAATTTTAAATTCCCAGCGAAGCGGACGGGTACAGCTAGTCGATTCATATAGTCAGAGAAGGATTTTTTATCACGAAGCATTACCGCATATAGGTTTGAAAGTTGGGACAACATGTATATTTTATTAGGTGAAGTGTTAAGAACTACCCAAAGTCAAGGCCCTTGTGGTGGTAACCAGTTACCGTTTTACACAAACACTGCGAGAATATGACTTAAAATCAATTGCGTTCACGTTATTTAAGGACAATGATAATAACACTTAATATCAAATGGACGGTGAACCAGTATAGCCATTTACGGAACTAAAAGCGTACTCAAATCGAGGTCATCATTAACAATCCTCAAACGGTTTATTTTTATTGGATCAATTTCATTATTTTTGTGATATGATGATGTGATAATGTGATGACGCAACTATGTGCTCTACGTCACGGTGGACGAACGAATTTTAAATTAGGAACTAAGTAATTTTTTTTTAATTAACAAATTAATTAAAAGAGCGAATCATCAAAATATGTCGTGATTTTGTAGGAATAGTTTAATCTTTTGAATCGTGTTTGATGTTCACTGAAAAGATAAAACAAAGCAAATAGCAAACACGTTAATTCATATTTAAACATTTTAATTGCATAGGTTCGTTCATAGCGAAATATATGGATGGTGTTTTTATTCAGAGAATATTTCACATCAACACAAATTGAAACTCACGATTTCAATATCAAATAATTGATATTAGCTTTAATGTTCTATGAATACGATCTAGTTTCGCTTGATTACAGAATAAAACAATAGTGTGGGGCGAACTTAGAAAATAAATAAATCGTTATATTTTAAATTACATTTCAGTCTTCGATCAACAATAGTAATGTTGATCGAAGATTTCAGTGCTTAAAGAAATTTAAGTTAAACTCAAGTAGATATCAGGCAGACAGTTAGTCTTGAAGCTCATGCCGAACCCCCATGCAGCGTAATAAGCGGACATGCTACGCCGACTCAGAATAATGTGTTTTTTTTATAGCTTAGATGGGTGGACGAGCTCACAGCCCACCTGGTGTTACGTGGTTACTGGAGCCCATAGACATCTACAACGTAAATGCGCCACCCACCTTGAGATATAAGTTCTAAGATCTCAGTATAATTACAACGGCTGCCCCACCCTTCAAACCGAAACGCATTACTGCTTCACGGCAGAAATGGGCAGAGTGGTGGTACCTCCTCCACCCGCGTGGACTCACAAGAGGTCCTACCACCAATAACTCTGCTGAAGGAGAAATTGAATACGTCATGATGTACAGCATTAATACAGCGACCGCAGATAGCTGGGACAACATATTGGATGAACATTTTGGAGTCACATCTCAAGTGAAGTATCTTTCGGCTCTGTCAATCCTACCATACCACAATAGATTATAATTGAAGCGAAGCTCAAGGCTTAAGGATAAGAAACCGCAGAACAATCCAGAAGAAAGTAATTAAAGATGGCCGCGATACTCAGCATTCAGGATTATCGACGGAAGGAAGGAGGAGGAAGGGAAGCTACAAATAGCCTTTCATAATGACTAGTTCAACTACTTATTTACAAATGCGTATTCGATTGTATTATTTATCGATCCGACTGAAAATAATTCATAAGGCCATTCATATCAGCCAGGATTGCCGGGGAACTCACGTCCCACCTGGTGGAACGTAGTTACCGTAGTACATCACAACACGCATGCTCCCAACCACTATGAGATATGAGGTCGAGGCCTCAAGCGTACTGTACAGCTGCTACCCCGCCCCGCTTTGCAGTAGAAATAGGCAAGATGATGATAC